AGGAAGATTGCCCTGCATTCAAAGTGAGCCTAGGCTATAGAGTTAGACCCTGTCTCGAACAAAAACACAAGAGTGAAACCAAACCAAAGTAACAAGTACAACAAAAATCATTTAGCCAGGTGTGGTGGCAGATGCCTTTAATCTCAGCATTTGGAAGGCAGAGGCAGGTAAACCTCTGTGAGACCCAGGCCAGTCTGGTCTGCATAGTGCGTTTTGGGCCAGCTAGTGCTACAGGATGGCCCTGTCCCAAAATAAACAAATTTAATTGAATAGACATTTTCGTTATAGTCGGTTTTTTTTCTCAAAGTAATAAGCCATAACTTCAGTTCTTGTAAAGTCCTTCCTCCAACAGTTCCCCTCATTATCAATTATGTGGGGGGGGCTGAGCTGATTTGTTATTGTTGATGAACCAGGTACATTTTGACGAAATGAAGACTAGAGTTCAATGGATTTTATCAAACTGATGTCACATGTCCCCCACTGCAGTGTGACTTCCCTGCTAATGTGCCTTTTCAGAATGTAATGGAGTTGGGATCATGGACTAAGTTGAGCTCGCTCTTTCACTGGCTTAGCAATATGCACTTGAAGTTCCTCCATGACATTTTATGGCTTGAAAGCATATTATTTTTCTTGTTTCTGTGTCAAAGCATGTTACAAAATCAACTTAAGGAAGGAAGGGTACTTGTCCACACAAGCATTGAGAGGATACCGTAGGTCATGGTGGGAAGTCATGACAGGATGAGAAAGCGATGGGTGGTTGTGACGCAGAGAAGTCAGAAAGCAGATGAGTGCTGGTGCCCAACTTGCTTCTCCTTTTTGTTCGGTCCAGGACCACAGCCCATGGGATGGTGCTGCCCACGTTCAGGGACAGTCTTCCTTCCTTGATTAAACGTCTGTAGAAACAGCAGCACAGATACACAGCATTGTGTCTCCTAGGTGATTCTAAGTCCAGACAAGTAGACAAGGAAGGTTAACATCCCAAATCACCTGTCTGCTATCACTGAATAATGTTCTATTTGAGGGATATAGCTGCCTTTTTGTACACTCACATAGCAAAAGACACTTTGATCTATTTTTGTAAAGATTATTTTTAAAGCATAACAGTATACAGTCTGGTTGTCTACTTCCAGGGATTGCCATAGTTTAGAGCTGATAGACTATGTGCTGAGGGGAATGGCTTTTATTAATGGACACAACCTTAACTAAATAATTTTAATTAACTCCAGCAAAGCCATGCTCTTGGGTTCAATGACCAGGGCTTCTCCTTGGCAACCACAGTTGGTACTCCACCCAGAAAGATAATGAATGTGTGTATGTTTGAGAAATAACCTATCAAAGCACACCCACCCATATCCATTGAACACAGTAGAAACTGGGAAAGGAGTCCTGACCTTGGAAGAATGTGAACGAGGGATGAAAAGACAGATGGTCTATTAAGATAAGGTACAGCCAAATTTGAGCTTGTACTTCCCCAAAGAAGCTGGACAAAGCATTTTGAATCAATTATGGGTGTGGCCTGATTAGAGGACATAGTGGGAGAAAGAGGGCTGCAGAACCCGTTCTAACAGTACAGGGATAGGACAGCTCCACCAGAAGGAAACTAACCCCTACCTCTCACTCTGCCTAAGAAATCGATTTGAAATGCATCAAAGATCTGAATAAAGACCTGAAAGTGAAACTTCTTAAGAAAGAGGAAAAACTCCTCCGCACAGTAGCCTTGGCAAGGAGTCTCTGAGTAATAGTTCAGTACCTCAGCAAGCCACAGCAAACCTGAAACATGGAGCTGCGTGAAATCGGGAATGTTTCTGCACAGCAGAGGAAACATTTAACAGAGCAAAGAGAAGGTCTACGGAGTGAGAGGAAACACGTCCCATCTACTCATTGGACAGGGATTTATTTATATCCACATGTATAAAAAAATTCAAAATATTAATCACCCCAAGTCCCAAATAAATCAATCAATAACATGGGAAAAAAATAGCTGATAGTTCCCCCCAAAAGTACGAATTGGCCAATTAAAGATTTGAAAACTGTTCAACACCCTTAGCAATCAGGGAAACATGAACAAAAGTGGCACCCAGATTTGATTTTATGCCAGTCAGAATGCTGCTAAGGATTCAAGGCAAAGGATCGTCTCTGCACTGTTGGCAAGGATGTGAACTAATGCAGTCACTGTGGAAATCAGCCTGGGGGCTCCTCATACAACTGAAATCTGAATTACCATATTACCCAGCTCTTCCACTCCTGGATATTTATCTCAAGGACTCAAGTCTGTATTTCACAGAGAAACCCACACATCCATGATTATTGTGACTCTATTCACGATAGCCAAGCTACAGAACCAGCCTGGATTTCTATCAGCAGATGAATAAATAAAGAAAATGTGGTATAAATGGAATTTTATCAGCCATGAAGAAGTATGAAATTCCATAGCTTAACTATTGTGAATAGTGTTTCAGCAAACACTGATGTCTGACCTAGATGTCTATCAACAGAGGAATGTATAAAAATAAAAGTGGTATATATACACGATGGGTTGGTTTTTAAACCATAAATAATGGAGTTGTACCTTTTGAGAAAAATGGATGCAAGTGTGAATTATCACATTAAGCAAAGTAAGTCAGTCTCAGAAAGACAGAGAGCACCTATTTTCTTGCATTTGTGGATACTAGATTTTATATAGATACATAAAATTGTTTGTTGAAAAATATTCTTATTGAGTTTTTGTGTATTTTATATAATGCATCTTAATCAAATTTAGACTCCCTTCTCCCTTCCCCCTCCTATAGGCCCCCCATCAGACTTCAGATATTCTGTCATATATGTCCTGTATGTACATATGACATAAATGTAGAAGTCAAACCGTCTCAGGGGATCACAGAAGACTTATGGGAAGGGAGGAGGGAAAGGAAGGAGGGTGTGAGGAAGAAGTTCAAAGTTCACTTTATACTTGGACAGGAAAAGTCCTTACCTCACCGTGCCCTGCACAAGACGGAGAAAAAGCTCGAAAATGAAACAAATCCCATAGCTAACATAGTACTTACGTGAACACAAATGAACTGTATTATCTCCAGTGGCTAAAAGCACACCGCCTAACTGCCCCACGGACAAGTAATTAACCATGACATGCATACCCACGTGTACGTGCAAGTACAGAGGATCTATGTCTTAAGACTGAAAAAAGAAGGGCGAGAATTTTACAGTAGAAGCGGAGTAGCTACGAGGAGAGGGGTGAGAAGAGAGGGTGAGGGAGGCTGAAAACGTGGGCCCCCAAAGGAGTCAAGTCCACGTGCAGCAGAGATGCCAACGTGCCGTTTGTTGCATCACTATTTATAAGTTATGAGTCTCGTTATTTTGTACAATGAACACATACTAGTAATAAAAACCAAGACTATTGTAAAATGACAAAAATATCAGAAAAAAAGAATACTTCAGATAATTATTGACCTCATTTCTTGTGAGCAAATCTAATAGCTCCCTGTTTATAGTGTAGATTTTATGTACATGCATTCTATCAGTTATGTCTCTCTAGAGAAGCCTGCCTAATATGCCAGTGCGTACTTTAACATAAAAAAGTGTTCAGGAAGTCAGGGAGTCAGTTTCCTATGTTAATGGAGCTGAGAACACTCTCTCTGCTGAAAGGACTTTCCAAACTGAGGAAACAGGGTCACACAGCTCTGGGAGAAAGCTGTTATAACTTAGTATGTCTGGTGTTCAAAGGAGGAGAATGAACACTCTACAGGCCAAAACAGACATTCCTGCCTTATATAAACTCCCAACAGAGAGAAGAGGTTGTAACTGGGCAAGGGCAGACACACACACTGAGCCAAGAACCAAGCCCTCCAATGAGTCTCATCATTAGGGAAACCCATTCCCTAGGAACTTAGTTTACTTTTGCCTAGAAAAAGGTGTGAAGATTCCTTAACTTATCCCAGAAATTGCCTCATGAAGGAAGAGATATTTGAATATTCAACCACAGTAAATGTGAAATCCATGCCTGATGCATTAAAGCGATGTGCCCTGGAGGTGGTTTTCAAAATTGGAATTTATGCCTTCTACGTGGAGTAAGATCACCTAGAAGAAATATATAGTATATATCTGTGGTTTTCATTTGTTTTGCATCATACCTTGGGTTCATTTATTTCAATAGAAATGTGTATAGAAAACGCAATGCCCATGAAATAAACCAAAGGTGCATGGAAGAGGGAATGAGAGACACATCAATAAAAATGTCTGACTCAGGTGTTAGAGTCGAGTGGTCCCAGAACTGATTTCAGACTCCACTAGCTGTTTAGAATGGATTTTAAAAATCATAGTATGTGAATACTATCAGCCTTCCAGGAAGGTGTAAGAAAATAATGTCAAAATGGCAAGCATACGGACAATACATCACAGTCCAAGGATTTGTACAGCAAACTGCTATTTATAAAGAACTTTGTCTACACCTCTTACAATAATAAGCAATCATGCTTTATGTTAAGACCCATTTTCTACAAATTTAATATTGTAGCTCTCATACTAGTAAGACTTTCATTCATTTCTACCAGTTACATTGCTGTTTGATTGTGTATTTATGTAGATTATGTAAACAAATTCTATCACCAGTTGCTATGTTTTAAGTGCCATTATTTGACCTAGAAGTCAAACTTTCTGAACACAGATCCCAACTTCAGTTGCTTTTCCGTGGAGTGGAGATGTCACTGAATCACCTTCTAGATTAATGTAGTAAACAAATGGCCCATGAAGGCAGATGTGGGTAGGTAATCAATTGATAAAAGCAAATGATGTTGCTGAAATGCTCGCTCTATGCCCTTCATGCAGCTCCTCCAAACAACCTACCAGCTCCTTTCTGAGCTCACCCTTGAAAGCACACGTGTGCTGGCCTGTTCCTTGTCATCCTTGCGTGACATTCCGCTGGGCAGCTGCATTATTTTTAGTCAGACTATCAAAGTATTTTTCCATTGGACTGTTGCTGCACTTGAAGTTGGAATATTGCAGCCTGAAGGACTTCAGGGGAGAAAAGCAAAAACTTCTAACAAATGGGAAATTATAAATCTAGACCAACTCAAACTTGTACTGGTAACTATTTTTACTTTCTTATGTGTGTGAAACATGATTCAATTATAAGTAATGATACATTGTGTTTCAATGATTTATATACAGAGGATATTTAGTGTTGGGAGATTATTTGAGCTTGCAATTATTTTTTGAAAGATTTTGGACTGAAAAGAGAAAACTTCTTGCAAATATGCTAGTTTAGTTCCTCTCCATAATGTTGTAGAAAATTTTGGAGGACTGTTGAATATAGAGATTTTAGAATTACATCTTATGTATCTATTATTTAATATCTAAAAGACACTGTGTAGCAACTAAGGATTGCTGCAATTAAAGTGCAATAAAATCAAATGAAATAAGTTGAATACATTCTTCTATATAAATATATTGTACAATATCAAATGGAATCTTAATTGCTACAATTCCAATGTGATTGCATCATAAATATAAATATCTGCATTTAAATTCACAATCAGCAATTTAAATTAAGTATTGTAGAATCCAGAATAAAAATCAGAGTTTTGATTACTCGTACATTATGATCTGTGTCTATACTTTGCAAAACACAATTATGAATCAATTCTGTTTGTTTTCTCGGCTAGATGAATGGAAGAGGAAAGTCAGTGAATCTTACGCTGTTATTATAGAAAGATTACAAGATGACCTGCAGATCAACGAAAAAGAAATTACAGAACTAAGGCACATATTTGGGTAAAGTTGTCAGAATTATCACTTCTTTGATTGAGTGTCTTCATTATTTATCTTGTTTTTAGGTGTGTATGTACGTGTGTTTGTGTGTGTATGTGTGCGTGTGTATACATGCACATAAAGCCTTAGTCATGTTCTAAGATTAGAATGCATGCAGAACACCTCTCCTTGAATACTTCTACAGCTCACAATAAGCAAGGATCTCACCTCCTTAGACTACAACCTGAAATCTCTCCTCACTAAAGTTCAGGAAGAGGAGCTGAAGGGTAGGCCAGTGAATGCAAGGTGCTTATGTTCTGAGTAATCTGCTGTGGAACTAATTATGTCATTCAGTTGTCTGTGCCAGCAACAGACTGGGCTGCTTTTCCCCATGGTGGTGGATATCGGCCACATGGCTGTGTTTAGGGAGATAGGGAAAGTGCAATTTTAATAAACCCTGTAATCTCTTGACATTGGAAGGCTGTCTCCTAATGGAACTCAGCATGATTTTGCCCTCAAGTGATCCTACAACAACATGTAAACTTGGCTCCTGACTTTTGGTGGGTTTTGTTCCCTAATAATAAGAAAAAAACAATCTGATCTGGTGAGTGTCACAACCTTGTAAGACACAAACTGTTCGGAAAAGAGGGGCAGGACCCTTATATACACCAGCAACCTCCTGGAGAAATTGAATCTGACACTGAGAAACTGGATGCACTTCAGTAGTTAGCTCTCTGACCTGGGAGAGTTTAGACAGAGGCCAATTAGCCAGGTCCACTTTAGCTGTCGTTCACACAGTACACATCTCGCAAAGAACACCTTGATGTTATTTAGAAAATGAGTTAAACAATGACCAAAGACGTATTTCTCAAAATAAATTTCAGGTATTGTGAGCAGATAAATCTAGCATGGCTAGAAAACAAAGTCAGCCAGGTGTCAATGAAGTCCACTGACAGAACTCACAGGGCTTTTACAGATACTCAGTTTGCAGTTTGGAAAGTTGACATTTGGGATAAGAAGTCATCTGAGTTCCACCTTTTCATGTCGTGTCCCATCACACTCAGGTATAGAAAAACATCCAAAATTCTAACAGAGCTGTGAACAGGCAATTCAGAATGGTACGTCTATAGGTACAGTTTAATTTTATTGAAAGAGTAATATGATAGTGTACTTTATCATAGATTATTTACCTCTATGGATTCAGGTACATACACTGAATGAAATGGGATCAAAGTGGAAGGGGTTTTCTTTTAAGTATATGAAGTAAAAGTATTTTTTTTATTTAAGAAGTACAAGTATCTTTTAAATTTATTTTTTTCTTAGGTCACATTTAGCTGAAGCTATTTGCATTTTTTAAGGAAAAAAAATGGACTTGAGATGAAGGTGCTTCTCCTACCGTACCAACTGCCAGCTGTGTTCACAACTCTAGCTGTGGCTAAGGTCTCATGCTTTTCCACTAAATTCTACAAATGTGGGCTTTCTGATAATTATTTGCTATGAGAGGCAAAGATCAATGTCAGTCTAGAGATTTTCAAAATACTTTCTAAAAACATTGTGTGTCACATAATGCATTCTTTATCATAGTATGGGTGTTAGATAACATTAGTTTGGGAGATAAATATTTTTCTACTGTGACTTGTCAAAATCATACAAAAAGTTATTTTGGAATGTGATTTGTGAGACTTGCCTGATACCATGAATAGAGATCTCTTCTCACTGTGGCCTGCATGCTGTTCCAAGAATTTCCAGTGTGGTGGGGGACCTGACATACATGAATAACCATGGCAGGGTATACACAACAACATGCACTAAAGCCAAATGGCAAAAAAATGGTTTTGGTATTGGTTATTCATTGACTTTGGAAAACATTAGAGATAAAATGGGAACTTAAGTCAAGACATCTAGTTAGAATGGGTGAGGGCCAGGGAGCATCCAGGAGAAGTGAGAAAGAGTCATGGGGCTAGATATCTGGCTCAGCAGTTTAGAGCACTGGCTTCTCTTGCAGAGGATCCAGGTTCAATTCCCAGCATCCACATGATGGCTAACAACTGTCTGTGACTCCAGTTCCAGGGGATCTGACACCCTTTTCTGACCTCCTAGGGCATTTCACAACATGGATGCACTTATGTACATACAAGCAATACACTCATACACATAAAATAACAAATTAAATAAAAAAGAAGGAAAAGTAATTTCTTCACCAAATTCCCTGAGCTAAGTAAGGAAGTTCTCCCAGCTTTTCTGCTTGCAGTGTGTGTTAACTTTTCATCATTTCTCCAAACCACTGCTGTGGTCCTTCCTGTGTTACTTAGAAAAGACTTCCATTTCACTTACTTTGTTTCTGTGAATTTTTTTTTTTTGCCTTTTTGAGACAGGGTCTCCCTGTAGCCCCAACTGTCCTGGAACTCACTATGTAGACCAGGCTGGCCCTGAACTCACAGAGATCTGCCTGCGTCTGCCTCCCAAGTGCTGGGGTTAAAGGCGTGCGCTACCACGCCCGGCTGTTTCTGTGAGTTTTTAAGTCATAAGAAATGTTACAACCGTATTAATTTCATTCAAGTCTACCTTAAATGTGCTTAAACTTTTATATGAAATTTTAAACCTTACAGTGCTATTTCAGATGATATAATTTTCTAGTGCCATGACTCATAAGCAAAAGTCTTTCTGTCTCTCTGTCTCATCTCTCTGTCTGTCCTTTCCTCCCTCTCTCTGCCCCCCTCCTTTAATCTGTTTTGGCATGAAATAAATATACCTGGACCAATAATGATAAAATCAATTTTGAAACTGATTAGGTACAAAATGTTTAAAATGTTTAGTTCAGTGAGAAAGCAGTCACAATGCATGTGAGGCAGTAAACGAGAGGAGACGGACCCTGCTGGATGCTTATGCAAAGCACCTTCCAGTCATCCCCCTGTGAAGCTGCTCAGGGCCCAGCTCAGCTCTAAAGGCAGCACTCAGAACGTCAGCCAACTATGCAATTTAGCTACGGCACAGTGAACAGCTCCCCAAACGGCAGGATGACCTCATTTAAGAACAGCAGAAATATTACATTAAGGTACTGTGCAGATATTGAGTCCTGAGAGGGAAAATGCCATGTTGTCAAAGCTGAAAGTGCTGCTTAGCATGTTTGGGTATTTTGACAATCACCAACAAGACAGAAACACTATTTTCAACAGCAGAAAGACCTCAAGCACAAGTTGACTTAGGCTTGCGTCTTGAAATCTTGTGTTTGTCAGTGTAAAGGATGATTTAAATCTCCTTCCTCTGTGTCTTTCCCCCCTCCCTCTCTGTCTCTCTCTCCCTCTCTCTTCTTTAGCATTTCTGTCTTCACCTCCCTTTTCCTCTTCCTCTCTCTACCATAGTTTGTTTCTGGCTCCCTCTCTCCTCCTATCTTCTCTTTTTCCTTCCCATCGCCCCTCCAACATTCCTTTCTTTATTCTTATTCTCAAAAGTGAACAGCAGGAAAGATGGCTCAGAGGTTAAGAGCATTTGCTGCTCTTACAGAAGATGGGTTTGGGTTCCCAGAACTCATATGAAAGCTCACAACTGCCTGTAACTCCAGCTACCTGGGGATCTGACACTCTCTTCTGGCCTCCACTGGTACCAGATATACATCTGATGCACTTATATACATGCAAGCAAAACACTCATACATGGAAAACAAAAATAATCTTATTTAAAAAAAAATAATGAAGCAAACATAACTTAAAATCAATGCTTTAATAAAAAGTATTTTAAGGGCTGGAGAACTGGCTCAGTGGTAAAGAGCACTGACTGCTCTTGCAGAGGACTTGGGTTTGATTCCCAGCACCCACATGGCAGCTATGAACTGGAACTGAACTCCAGTTCCAGGGGAATCCAAAGCCCTCTTCTGACCTCCGCGACATTGCACGACACGGGGGCACTCACATGCATGCAGGCAATACACTCATACACATAAAAGAAAAATAATAAAATATTTTTTAAAAAGTATTTTTAAGAGCTGCTGTCAAAAGGTTTACAAGACAAGGTATAACCTATTTAAAACTCACAAAAACCATATGACAAAAATTATTATCAAAAATGCTTTGACTACTTTTGCTCTGCCCTATATCATAACTGTTTATTCTGTGAATGGATAAAAATAATTCCTATCCTAAATTTGTATATTCGACCTGAGAGCTTTTTAGCAGAATGTTTCTGTATATTTCTGGCAGATACTTATTGGGGAAAGATGTAATTGCTAATTTTTATTTTGTTTCTAGTGCTTCCTGGGGATATTCTCAAAGCACTGTCTGAGAAGTCACAGCGGTTCAAAACCCGTGTGGTTGGTCCTTTCTTCTTTGCCACTTGTTCTGGCCTCTTCCAAAGTTTCTATGAATTAGTTTTTTTAGAAACAATCAATACTACTTGTATTTGTATTGAGTTCTTGTGACTTTCATACAATATATTTTGATCGTATTTAGACCCTCATCCCTATCTGTGGTCTTCTTATAACACCACCTCCAGTGACATTTTATGTACTATGTCATATATTAAAGCCTCTTGAGTCGTTTATGTCCACAAATATTCTCCATCATGCATTCTTCCACTGGAGCCTGATTAATCCATCGAATGTCACACACTTAAAGAAAACCAGCTCTCCCTCTCCCAGTAGTTATCAGCTGCCAAAGTTTCCGAGCTAAAGTTGGGGCTTCCTAACTTCATAGTCACCTCCCCACTTCTATGCAGGGTTGGGTCTGTTGTGAGCTTGCATGGGTCTTGTGAATGCCGTCACCATTGCTGTGAGTGCATATGAGAAACATAGATGAAATCTTAAAGTAGTTTTAGTTTGCATTTCTCTAATTACTAAGGATGTTGGACACATTTGAAGGTGTTTCTCTAAAGTTGGGGCTTCCTAACTTCATAGTCACCTCCCCACTTCTATGCAGGGTTGGGTCTGTTGTGAGCTTGCATGGGTCTTGTGAATGCCGTCACCATTGCTGTGAGTGCATATGAGAAACATAGATGAAATCTTAAAGTAGTTTTAGTTTGCATTTCTCTAA